AAAGACTAATAGCAATACAAAATAGATTAAGGAACAGTTCACACTAAACAACAGAAATACAAACAATACAGTTTTAAGTGTTGCAAGTCAACTTAAAATCACATATCTTAAAGGACCACTATAGTGCCAGGAAAACATACTCGTGCCCCCACCCTCAGGGACCCCCTCCCACCCGTCTCTGGAAGGGGGAAAGGGGTAAAAACTTACCTTTTTCCAGCGCTGGGCGGGGAGCTCTCCACCTCTGATCCTCCTCCGTTCCTCCCCGTCGGCTGAATGCGCACGCGCGGCAAGAGCTGCGCGCGCTTTCAGCCGGTGGCATAGGAAAGCATTCATAATGCTTTCCTATGGACGCTGGCGTGCTCTCACTGTGAAAATCACAGTGAGAAGCACGCAAGCACCTCTAGCGGCTGTCAATGAGACAGCCGTTAGAGGCTTTGGGGGAAGGCTTAACCCATTCATAAACATAGCAGTTTCTCTGAAACTGCTATGTTTATAAAAGAATGGGTTAATCCTAGCTGGACCTGGCACCCAGACCACTTCATTAAGCTGAAGTGGTCTGGGTGCCTAGAGTGGTCCTTTAACAAACTAACATGGGGTTTTAGTTCCACCATATGGTCATACTGTGTTAAGCCCACCACTACGATATAGTACCCCAATTTCAGTGGGTGCTACACTAATTTATCATGGGAGATTAACATGCTGACTACAATACTTACTGCATAAACTGCTTACAAAAATTCTGTACTCTCATTGTACATGAGATATTATTATTATCATTATTATTATTATTATTATGTTATTTATATAGCGCCATCAAATTCCGTAGCGCTTTACAATGGGTGGGCGAACAGACGTAGTTGTAACCAGACAAGTTGGACACACAGGAACAGAGGGGTTGAGGGCCCTGCTCAATGAGCTTACATGCTCGAGGGAGTGGGGTAAAATGACACAGAAAGGTAAGGATAGTGTTAGACTAGTGACAGTTGCAGAAGAGGAATCAGTCAGAAGCTATTAACAGTTTAATTGATATGATCTTATGAAGAAGTGGGTTTTTAATGATTTTTTAAAGGAGTGGAGACTGGGTGAGCATCTAACGGAGCAGGGAGGTGAGTTCCACAGGAACTCATCACTGTAACTGTATTTATCTTACACCTGCGCAAGCAGTTAAAGGGAAGACGTTGACCATTCAGTACATCTCTACTGATATGGTTGAGTTTTCCTATAGCTTGGAGTGCTGGAGTAGAGTTGGCCAAGCCTTTGTATTCCAGTGAAGGCATCATGCATAAATATCATAGGGAATTAAAAACTTTGCCTAGCCTTTGCATTCCAGCCTATGGAGTGCCCAAGTTAACTAATTTCCCCTTTAGCGGTACTGTAGACCATCAAGTCCCACTACGCACAGTCACCCTATGACGGTTTAGCATTTGGTCAATCATTGCTCAGCTGATTACCATCATTGCCCTTGGTTAACACAGTTTTCACAATTTGCTGAGAGACAAATAGAACTGTGAAAGGTAACGTTAGATTATGTTGTTTGTTTCTTCAGCATGAATGGACTTGGCAGAGATTCAGACGTTAGGAAATTCCATACGAGGAGGGGTTTCCTTTGATGATTGGGCCATTGTGACTTTGCAGGAAAATGTACTTCCTTTTCGCTGAAGCATTTCATATTTTTTTCTTTTTTGTGAATGAATGAGCTGGCATTCTTTGACTTTATTGGATAACACTTTCTCTTTCTGTGAATCACATGATGTTCTGACACACTGAGGTGAAATACGAGTCAAATGGAGACCACTTTGTCCTACTCACCACCTTCTCCCTAAACAAGGATTAGATATTCCAGATGTGATCATACAAAACAGAGGAAATAGGAAGAAGGAAGGAAAGAATCATTACCTATTTTAATGCATCTGTATCCAACAATGGATATTTTAATAAAAAAAAATGCTATTGTGACTAAGTTGGACTGTCGTTTAACATTAATTTATTTTTAATATGCTTTGATCTTTTTATAGAGGGGTCAAGGTCTGAGGCAAAAACATCACAAGAGGTGTGGGCAAATCTCCATTCTTAAAGGAAAAGAGGAGGAAACGTTTTGGCTCCCATGGGCCCAAGCAAAAACATGCCGAAAGTGAGTTTTGTTATTTTTTTTTAATTGAATTTAATGCTATTATTATTTCAATGACCAGAAAAAAAAAGTAATTTATGTCATCAAACACAGTCAATCAAGTAAGAATTTAATCATTAAATTGTATTCTAGGAAAATAACACAGAAAAAATGCAAAAAAATGTTCTTCAGGAGAAAACAGGAACTTCACCTATGCCAAATAAAGATAGCATACTGTTATTACACACGTACAGTCATACCTTTCACCGAAATATTTTATGGCAGTCGATTCTTTTTTTTTTATCTATTGCAACAAAGTCATTGTCATTTCATCACAATTCATTGTAAATGGTTAATTTTCAACATGGGATTCGATTTGATATTTTTGGATAAACTTTTTTTCAAATGATAAATGATTTAATATTTTTGGATACGCTTTTAAAATGTTTTATTTTTTCTTTCACAATATTAAAAAGTATATCAATATAATAAAAAATATCAAAATACTGAAATATTTAAATATTTTTCCAAAATATTAAATCATTTGTAAAGCTTATCCAAATATATTAAATCTAGATCATATTAAAAAAATAAAAGAAATAACTATGTTTTGGAGAGCAGACAAAAATGCAAGACAAAAGTGGTAGACACAAAAAATGATATAGGATAAGCTTGTTTGAGCAGGATCCTAGTCAACCTATTGTTTCTGTAAAATTTTGCCATTGTCTCTATTGTTAAATGTATCCATTTTATAATATTCTAAAGCGTTCCTGAATAAGTTGTTAGTAATAATAATAGGATAATGTAGAAAGTAAAAAAAAATGGAACAAGCAAAACAAAAGACAACAATAACAAGAAATAATGGATGTTGATGGTAAAGGAAGGTGAGAAGATATTCTCGTAGAAGATCTTTTTGGCACTTGCCATCACTCCTATTCTATCCCATTCATATTTTTTCGTCAATATTATCAAATTACACAGAGGTTGAAAAAGTTTTGCTTAGAGGAAGTTGTACACATGTGTGCATTATCTAATTCTTCATATGCAAGGTTACATATCAGTGTGGTATTTCTTGGGAATGGACAGCCATACTTAGCAGAGGCTGCCTTTAGACCTCCCGAATGTGTGCAAAAGCTACTGAAATTAATTAATATAAATACAAGTCATCGCCAGCTACTGCTTCCGGAACCTGTCACCTTAGCCCTGTGCTTGGCAGACCATACCCAGAAATTGCAAGCATTTCCTGTGCATGTTTTCTAACAAATTATCTCTTGTAAATGTGAAAAGATTTTTTTGTCCATTTAGATAAGTGCAGATGACATTTGGAAGAAAATGTGGCCAAAATAATTCCTTTTAAATGATTGCAGCAATGAATCGACTACAAAAGGCATAAAACTAAATACATGTTCTTAGGATATTCAGTGTGGACGTAGTGATAAAATGTATCAGTCTGATGTAGTGCTGGTGATTTAGACATGTATATTCACTTTTCACCACTTTCCTACATTTTTAGTATTATGTGTACTTGTGCCCTGTTTTACAATAATCAAGGCCTTATTAAAGAGCACAAATAGTTTTACAACAGATAGATATCAATTGCATCGCATCTGAGAAATGCAGGTCTTAGTGTTATGTCCTGTTTTAACATATCTTCATTATGAGGTCTTAAAAGAAAATTAAATAGAAAAATACACAGCCGTTGTATATAACTCTGTCTTGGAGTTGAACATCTGCATCTTGGCTCCCTGTCAATCATTGCTATAAGTTATCTACTTTGCACCTGTCAGTCATCACCAAGAGTATAACGGTTGGAGAATAAAAAGGAACATTTGAGGGAGAGGGGGGTGGGGGGATGTATAAAAAGTGCTGGTTCTGATAAGGGGTGTAAACATGGAAAAGGAGTGGAGTCTATGGTGACTACCTACTTTTCATACTTCAGACCACATTTAAGAACAATGCTGTGTCCTGACTGTGGCTCTGCAGGACTGGGCATAATTGTGATATCATAAGGAACGTCCTTGCTATACATTTTGAAGAAAATAGATCATCACATGGAAAAAGAGGTTAGCACAAGTTATAGGTGATTTACAATGGTTCACTCAATGCAATAAAAATTGTGAGTTCCCAATTAACATAAATGTGTTTTTTTGGTTGTATACACATGCAACTGTTTCTTAGTTTAAGGATATTCCATTCAAATCCAACCTTTCATCCTTTCAATGTCAACAATATTACTAACACTGAGTATTAATATTTGGGTAATCATTCACAAAAGGACATCTTTAAAAACTGGTGCAAATGGTATGCATAATCCCTTGTACACTTATAGTATAATTATAAAAAATATACCCAAATAATATATTAAATATAACCAGATTATAAAAATGCTAATTATGGAAACAAATCTGCATCACAGCTAGTTTTTAGCTTGGCTATTTTGTACCCTAAAAAAATTAAGATTTATTATTCAAAATTCCAGGGTTTAAGGAATATACTTTATGGAAACAGAAGGCTATGTAGTTCACTACCAAGAGAGTTACTCAGTTTATTGATAATGAAAGGAGATACAAACAATGTATGCTAAGTGGAAAATGTTGTGACATTAGTATTATACAACCACACGAAAACTCCATCTATTGCCAAATACCCCCATAAAGTGACAAGCCCCACTCATTTCACACTGTGCTAAATGTCACTAACCACTTTCCAATCCATTTCAATATCTTCTACAACCTAGTAAAATGTATGTGGTTGGTTAGCTAAAGGGTAAAATATTTTGTAACAGAATCTACAAAAAAAAACAACAATCACATGAAAGTTATTTATGACTCCCAGAATTTTTATTTGGTAATTTTGACAAGTCTAATGTAATTAACCATTCCATTATGCATAGGACAAGCAAAGCGAAAGTTACACCGTGACACCTATAATCGTAAATCTTTAAACACGTTACAGGAAACCAAGCATTTTGTGGTTTCCAAAGTGCAAAGAACAGAAATTCTTCAAATTATTAGCACACGTATTTCAGAGGTATATCGGTTATGCAAACCTCCCATAGGTAAGTTAGTATAGGGGAAGTACAATTTTATATGTTCCATTATATAACGGAGGGAACAATGTATCTTAATGTATTCCATAACCCAGAATGTTCTATTTAGGCACTAGAAAGTTTGGTTTTAGGTAAAATTAGTTTTTTTCATTAATGGAAATTTAGAAAACATTGAAACTGTTGCCAGAAACACTGAAAGTATTTTTAAGATATATTTTTAAACATTTGGTTAAACTAAAAACTCCCTTTCTGTCCCATGACGCAGAGTTGAAAATAAATGAAAGTACTATTTTTAAATTAATTATAATTTTGTCTCAAAAAACAAGAAATTAAAAAACAGAAATAATTAAATTCCTTAGAAAATATATTTTATTTTTAGATATGGTAAATGTTGTAAAAGCTCCCCATTTGCCCCACGATATAGATTTCAAAATAAAAAGTACAATTGTTAAACTTAATCATATTTTTGTCCCTGAAAAAATAAGCAAGAAAATTTTTCCAAACAATATGATAATGATGCAAATAACCAAAAAATATAAACTGTAGTAAATGTTAATTTATATAATAACTATTTGCAGTTGTGCTCAAATGTTTGAATACCTTTTGAGAATTGGTAATATGTGTACCATGTTTAAAGAAAACATGAGTGAGCAGGAAAAACACATTTATATTATTTCGTATGGGATTCATATTCAACTGTAGGTTATAACAGAATGGCATAATTATAAAACAATGAAAAGAAAAAAAAATGCCTCCAGGTCATGAAAGTCTTTGGACGTTTTGCATGAACCGCACGTTTGAGATCTGCCCAGAGTGGCTCGATGATGGCCACTCCAGAACCTTCACCTTTTTGTGCTGTAACCACTGGAAGGTCAACTTAGCCTTTTGCTTAGGGTCATTGTCGTGCTGGAAAGTCCAAGAGAGTCCCATGATCAGCCTTTGTGCAGAAGTATGCAAATTGCCTGTCAGTATTTTCTGATAACATTCATCTTGCCATCAATTTTCACAATTTACAGCTCACACAACCCTAAAACATCAGTGAGCCACCACCATGCTTCACAGTTGCTTTTCACTATAGACCTTGTTGACCCCTCTCCAAACATAACGCTTGTGGTTGTGCCCATTAAGGTCTATTTTGGTCTTGTGACTCCATTGAAAATTACAGTATGCCAGAAGCAGTGGGGCATGTCAAGGTGTTGACGGGCATATTGTATCCGGCCTTTTTTGTGTCATTGGTGCACAACATTCTTTCTGGCAACTCGACCATGAAGCTCATTTTTGTTCAAGTATTGTCGTATTGTGCTCCTTCTAACAACCACACTGTCTTTTTCCAGAGCAGCCTGTATTTCTCCTGAGGTTACCTGTGGGTTTTTCTTTGTATCCTGAACAATGCTAATATTGTAAAGCGCTACGGAATCTGTTGGCACTATATAAATGGCAATAATAATAATAATAATTCTTCTGGCAATTGTGGCTAAAATCTTTCTTGGTTTACCTGACCTTGACTTGGTCTCAACAGATCCCCACATTTTCCACTTCTTAATAAGTGATTGAACAGTACTGACTGGCATTTGGATATCTTTTTATATCCTTTTTCAATTTTATAAAGTTCCATTACCTTGTTAAGCAGGTCTTTTGACAGTTCTTTCTACTGCCCACGGCTCAGTATCTAGCCTGCTCAGTGCATCCATGTGAGAGCTAACAAACACATTGACTATTTATACACAAACACTAATTGCAATTTAAAAAGCTACAGGTGTGGGAAATTAACCTTTAATTGTCATTTTAACCGCTGTGTCACCTTATGTGTCTGTGACAAGGCCAAACATTCAAGGGTATGTACACTTTTGAACGGGGCTGTTTGGGTGATTTCTGTTATCATTGTGATTTAAAAATGAGCCAAACAATTATGTGAAAATAAATGGCTTCATGTGATCACTATCCTTCAATAAAATTCATTTTTTTGCATGAACAGTCATATTTTCTAAATCAATGGCAAAATTTCACAATTTCTTCCAGGGTATGCAAACGTTTGAACACAACTGTATTGTTTGAAGTACATACTGTTAAATTTAATTCTAATTTTATGTTAGAAAATTAGGATAAGATAAATTTCCATTAATTCAAAAGAACTAGGAAATATATAGATTATATACTAAGAGTTAAGGACATTGAGGATGAATATTCATTCCCACAACTCTGCATGCCATATTTATTTATTGCTGGTATTAATAAAGCGCCAACAGATTCCCCAGCGCTGTACAATTAGTGATTAACATACAATATACACAGACAAATACAAAAGGTAGAGAGGGCCCTGCCCACACAGCTGAAATCTTGCCATTTAAGCTCTTTTATACAAAGTGCATAGGTAGATCGCCCGTGAGATTACAATCTAAGCTAAGTGTTCTTGGATGCGTCATTCTAAAGTCAAACTCCCTGCAAATGCAATACTTGTGGGCATATTTACACACATTAAAATACAGCAGCACCATTAGGTCTTTTCTTGGGACTGGGAAGGTAACTGTTCTACTCAATGCTGGCACTAGTTTAGAGTTTCGAAGTGAGAAATATTGCTTCTGGGTACTCTGATTCTACTGGGATACAACATATCCATGAAGCAAATAAAGTCTTCTGTGGCTCAATATTCATCACCTTTTAAATTCTGATTCTCTCATGGCGGGAATGATACCAGACTAGTTGTGATTTTGAGAGGCAACAATTTTCTAATTCAGGTGTAAGATGTAAGAAACATTATGTAGCTAACAGTAATATTGAAAGAATTACTGGAGTAAGACTCTGGGTTATTCACAACGGTATAGACTAAAATGGCCAAATTTGGGGAAAATCACACAGGAAAATTCAGCCTAAGCTTTAAGGGGTAATTTACCAAATGTAATACTTAATGAACTGAGCAAGACCTCTGGCAATATGTGAGTTAATAAAACGTTGGCTTTAATGTAACCTGAATTTAAAGGTCCCTTATTGTAGAAATGTAGATGTTCTCTTATTTGATACTCTTAAAAATGCTAATTTGATTGCAGCATATTATAAAAACCCAAACAGTTTGGGTTGACATTTAATTGAATTAAATTACAAATCTACATGTTTTCAATGTGCTCCTATCTATCATAATTTAGCGTTTAGCAATGCTTTAAAAGGACTTTTATCCTAAATAAAAAAAATTTGAAATGATCACCAGAACTTTAAAACATTTCTGAGCAGATGGGTAATGTATTGATATTTTGCAATCTGTTATGAATAAGAACTACACCCAAAGACAAACGGTATGCATGCCAATATGTGTCATACAGTCAAAAAGAATCTATATATTGCACTCTAATAAAATGCAACAGTGCCCCCTGCAGGAAGTTTAAAAGCGCCTCACTTCAAAATTAGAATACTTTCACTGTGAATTATAAGTAACAGTGCAGCCGATAAATAAGGCATTTATGATCCATGACGTATTACCGTTAAAAACTAAAAGTGTATCATGTCGAAAAAATACAATATAAAGTGAATACTAACTTGTAACACTGTGAAGCAATTTGCCAACATGTCGTATTTAACACATTCACTTAATTTTTTTATTTTTATTTTTTTTAATCTTAAGAGAAATGCAATAGTATATAAACATGGGATACGTCGTGAAGATGTAGGGCAGTACAGCAATTTCTGGGTACTTTTGTTCTCAAATACCTACCTTTATAGACATACATGTGAGTACACCGTTTAAAAGCTTTTTTAATATGGTGCCCTTATGAGTTGAAATATTAGCATAAAAGTTGAAATACAATAATTTGTTAGATCTGTTTATTCGGTTTTAAAAAAAATTGCAGTTTGTCTAAATTTTGGCTAATTGGGGGTTTGTCCAAACTCAAAAGCGCCATATGGATGTATAACGGACAAAACAACATGGACAATGGCTGACATCTCTTGTTTGCTTCATGATTCGGTATTTCATTCATAGCATCGAAATAAAGAAGTCAAATAAATAAATAAATAAGAAAGAAATAAAACATGAATTAGCTGGACCAAAACACTTAAACACACAATCAAATACTCAAAAGTAACTGAAAGCTGAAAATCGCAAATATTGACCAAAAGTGGACCGAATTCAAATGGTAAAATACCATTCAAGTCGCCCAAAATCTGACCAGATTTCATTAAAAGGGCATAAGCATGAGATTATCACTATACTGCAATATATATATAATATATATACAAACTGTATACAGGTTTATTTAGGTGCCTTTTGGTTTGTCCAAACAGGTTTTTCCTGAATCATTTGCACAGACGTTATTTGAGAGAGCCGGAAGCCATGCATTGTCAAAATCCGTTTGACTGGAATACATTTTCTTTTTAACCTACAGTAGATTTGACAAGAAAAAAAAAAGATAAGTAAAAGTGGTCTAATACCCTGCTTATGAGTAATTATGAGAAGCCTGAATGAGTTTCTGTGAATGTAAACTTTAAAAATGCAACCACAGAGTAAAAACGATGTCTGCGTTTGGGCATCAGACACACATAGAGTAAGTACATATTAGCGGATGGTATGGGTTAACATGTTTTGGAGTTTTATTAATTGAGTAAAATGTTTTAACTTGTTGCGGCACTACAAATGTCCTTGAACAACTTACCTAGAAGATGGCTGACCACCTTGGGAATTGTAGCTCAGTGCTACAGTTAGTTGTAACCGCTTCAGAACATTACTTACTAAGATAATTTTTTATAAGTGGTTCAGATTGGTTTCATAATGAGCAATCAATTTGGAGTGTTATTATTACTTTACTGTGCCCTTAAAACTATTTAACCCTTTCACTGTCAAAGGATTAACTTGAATGGCAAATTGTAATGTAGTTCTTAGCAGAGTGAAGGTCACTTGGATGCACAGAGATCCCTATTTCAGTAGGTTTGTAATGTCTTTTACAATGGCTGTTGCTTCCCCACTATCTGTGATGTCATATAAATTGTAGTTATGCTGCTACTTTTACCCCTGGTCACCTTGT